CATCTGTTTTAAGAACTGTGAACTTGCAGAGACCATTTGTCTATCTGATCTTCCTTTCTTGTTTTTCACTGTGCCCTATTCATTTCTCTGTTAATTAAATAGATGTGAAATCACTGAACCACTGGGTCGAAGAAACAATTAAACAACAACTGAAATAAAAAAAAAAAAAAAAGTGGGAAGGAGGAGATTCTCTCCTGTTTTTCTTCTAAGCTGATTCCGCGTAATAGAAATTGCCCTATTTCTGAGTGTGCACTTTCTTTTCCTCTCACAGAGAGAAGTCTTGGATTCATGAGGGTGTATCTACCTAGTAACAATACAGTAGAGTTAACCCAAGAGAACAATGCATCCATTAATCTGCTCATGCTTAATTGGTAAGTACAGTATGGAGCTGGCATTTCAAATGCAGACAGTAAATGTACTTGAATTGGTTGCTATTTAATTGATGCAACTGGCATACATGTGCATGCACCATAAAAAAAAATAAAATAAATATAAAAAATAAAAAAAAAGAGAGAGAATGAAAACAATAAGTTATTATGAATCATCTTTTCTTTGCTAATGTTGCCAGTAGAAGTTATAAGAAAAAAATAATAATAAATATGAATCTATCAACATAGAATTCTGCACAGGCAGAGCAAGAAGGGGGAAACCTCTGACCCAGCCAGTGCCCTGGCTTCACCCCTGCCTCTACTATCTGCCCTGTCAGAGGACAAGCAGCAGGCATGGCAGGGCAGCCCTGTACCAACAGCTTCCCTACGAATTACAGCAGGGAGCAAGGATGAAGAGCACAGAGACTGACTGATCCCGAGGAGGCTGTGGTCTATAAAGACAAGGACATGGACAAGGTTTTCTTCCCAGAGCAGTGAAGGGCAAGCAAAACACTTTTGTTTCACTAGCTGTATTCAACATGTAAAGAATGTTGGAGGAATTGGGATGGCATTGCAGGAAGCCACAAATTACCCTTCATAAAGCAGAGCTCACTTTTCCCTACAGGCACGAGAGAAGGGAAGTCTTAAAATACAGGTTGTCTGGCAACCCTATGACTGGCTTATCACCCATATAAATTGACTTCCCACAAAACCATAAACTATTTCACTAAAAAGTGAAAAGCGCCACACTGTTAACATGACTAACATGAAGGCAAAGTAAAAAGCTAATCTTTCTCTTGTGTCCTACCTCATTTTCACCACTGCCACCACCACCACAAAAATCTGCACACACACAAAAAATGTTAGCCTTACCTTTTTACTAGGTTTTTTCCTGCAACTATGACAGGTTCATTCTTGAACCTCCTGACTGAATTATTTTTCTCAATTTTTTTTTCTTTCTATCCATTGTGTGAATGCTGCAGTCACAATCTGTGAAATGAATAGCACTTGTTACATTTTGTATAAATAACCTTATCACATGAATATAGCATGTTTCCCCAGCTGAGAAATACATACAGCTCATGAGACAAAATTCTTGCAAACAGTACCTCCCTGAAAAAAAGTGTCAGCAGTGTGGAAAAAAAAAAAAAAAGCGATAAGCAAAGGGAAAATAACAGTTAGCCCTACAATGTCTTGTGTTTGCACTTGCTTGTTAGATGGAACAGGGTCATAGCAATCTTTGCTTTTCTGTGGCCACAGCACATCCCTTACCTGGAAGAGACAAGCAGACATCTGGATGTGTCTTGAAGCCCCAGGATTCTGTACGTCTATAAATTCAAGAGTGTTGTTTTGTATCTGCAGCCTGGAAGGGAGAGTGGGGATGACAGATACACGATGCCTTGTGCAGTGGGGACATGGTGGATCTATAGATGGTAGTTGGAGAGGAAGAGAGGAGGAGAGAAAGAACTGGAGCACAACCAGCCTACACCTGTTGTTATCAGACTGCTACCATCACATCCTCAATAGTCTGGCAGATGTCCTCTGTATCTGAACAGTAAGGTTTGTCCTACACATTTTTCTGATCCAGTCAGTCTTTGACTTTTCACATGAGGTCTCCTCCACTGAGCTGAAGGTCACTCGACACGCCTACAGCAACCAGGAACCAGAAGACCCTGGCAGGAGGTAGCAGCGCCCACAGCACCAGGAGAGATAAGAGCAGGAGCTGTGTGCAGAAAGCAGCATGAAAGTTTTGGAAGGGAAAAGATCAGGGAACTTTTAAGTTGCTGAGCACAAACTCCTTCTTTCCAGAAAACTGGATTACAAATAATCCTGTCTGTAAAATTACTAGGAAAAAATATATATCAGCTGACCTCAGTTCATCTTTCCCTTTTGAAGGAGAAAAAGAACTTGGAACAATTCTAAGACATGCTTTTCTATTCACAAAAGATCCTGATGTAACATCTGCAGCAGTGTCCAATCTGGATTTTCAAGTGAAATCAGCTTTGTGAGTCAGCTTGTGCATTCTTGGTATTGGAAAATCAGGGCAGTATCATGCAACACAAAGCCATACACTTTTCCCTAGTTGCCCAAATTCCATTCTGCTGTTAAATGATCATCATACAAATGCAGAAAGGGGAAGAACTTGCTTGGTAATGGAAATTCTCTCTGTTCCTGTAATGCATTTATTGAGTTTTTTCCAATTATTAAGAAAGAAAGAAAGAAAGAAAGAAAGAAAGAAAGAAAGAAAGAAAGAAAGAAAGAAAGAAAGAAAGAAAGAAAGAAAGAAAGAAAGAAAGAAAGAAAGAAAAGAAAATACGAGAATATGAGTGCAAAGAAACTACAGAGGAAAGGCATTTGTGATTGGATTAGTGAATCGAGAACAAAATCATCAATAGATGTCTTTATTATTAAAATAGAGTAACAACTTTGGCTGAATGATTAGCCAAAATTTCAAAGCCTTGCAGAGTTGTTTCTATTAGCATAAGAAATAAGCAGCTTCAATCAATTGTACTCTTGGCATAATCTTAAAATAATCATGTTTACTTACCCCCTCAAAAAAAGGAGGAAAAATTTTACCCAAGGCCCATTTTCCTGAATGCAATAAAAGTGAAATCATCAGCAAAGACTGTTATTCTCATTCAGGAATTCCCAGATCTGTCACTTGAGAGTGCTTAACATCCTAGCCCTGCTGGCTGGCTGCTCCCTCTCCTCAGCACACAGACAAGTCTTCTTGCAAGATTTTTGCTCTGCCACTAGCAGGCTTCAGCCAAAAACCCCTGTGTTTGCAGCAATGAGCTGCTCACAACATAGCTTTACCTCTGATATACCAAAGTTCTTCATGGCAATGGTTCACAATCAAAGAGACCCCAAAATTCCTGAAGAAGTCTGAGGCCATAATGTGTACAGTCTGGGGAAGCAGGACCAGAAACCAGGCAGCAAGCTATTATTTGCCATTTTTAGCTTGAGAATGATACAAAAGCTACCAACAGCAGAGCTCTACAGGCTTTGCCTGGGTGCTCCCAGGTCCTTCCCTCCAGGATTGAAAGGTTTCAAGGTCTGCTTGCCCCATAGCATGGCAGCCTTTACATGTGACCAAGCATTTCTTCCAGGAGCTGGGGACTTCCCCATGTTTGTAGTGGATCTACTACTTTTTACATTAAAACCTCTGGCTAGTGTTGTAATCTCCATCATTTTCAAGGATCCTTTTCGTAATATCTTGCATTGCTTCAGTGATATCTCCCAATGGATGTTTCTTCTTGTTGTTGTTTTTGTTTTATATATATTTCTAATAAGATTGATAAGGCACGTTTTTTTACAGTCTCTCCTTCTTACCTTGTCTCTTTACCATTTTTTTCTTTTTCCTGAAGTAAGGTAAAATTCCTTCTACTGCATCACAACAATTGTGTGTAACCTTTTACTCTGATTTGTCATTTCATTCTGTTATCAACTGTGTTGTGAAGACCTGTCAATTCCATTTATTGAACACCTTTACAATTTGTGCTTGGCTAATGACTGAGGTAACTAAAACTCTGGTGAATGCCTTGGTTGTTGTTGTTTCTTTTTCTCAGACTGGATATTTAAATGTGTTTCTTGCTGGTCTTTGTGCATTCATTCTATCTAAATTGCAATCTGTGCAGTCATTTGCCTCATATGGTCCTTTTTCCATCCCTTCCCTTCCCTTCCCTTCCCTTCCCTTCCCTTCCCTTCCCCTTCCCTTCCCTTCCCTTCCCTTCCCTTCCCTTCCCTTCCCTTCCCTTCCCTTCCCTTCCCTTCCCTTCCCTTCCCTCCCTTCCCTTCCCTTCCCTTCCCTTCCCTTCCCTTCCCTTCCCTTCCCTCCCTTCCCTTCCCTTCCCTCTCTTTTCCCTTCTCTTCCCTTCCCTCTCTTTTCCCTTTCCTCTCCTTTCTCTCTTTCTCTCAAAACAAAACAAAACAAAACAAAACAAAACAAAACAAAAACTTTTCAGGCCTTTCACTTGTTTCTATAAAATCTAGCCTTCCCTATAGTAGAACTTTCTCAGACTTTTCAGTTCTTGATCTAGTCCCAAACAAATACCATTTTATTAAAATAATACAGACTGATCTGGAGGTAGTGCATTCCTTCTCACCTCAGCTTTTTCAGATAACTTTTGCAGTGATTTACTTCACAGCTGAGGCCTCTTATTTGGGAGTGACACAACACAAAAGCCCATGCTGAGCAGCTACTGTTACAGGAACTTGTAAGAAAATCAGGCAGAACACCTGACTTATTCTTGGAACCACAGTGGAAAAAGTCATGCTTTCTAGACAAGACATAGTATTCATCTGAATCCTGTCAGTTCAGTTTGAAACCTCCCTATGTGACAGCCCTCCATTTACTAATTCCAAAAGTGAGGTTTTTGTCCTCCAATTTTCTTATTTTCTGATCCTCTTTATTTCAAAACATTTGTGCTGCTGAGTCATCACTGTCAGGGGAAAAAAATAAAAAAATAATAAAAAAAAATCCTCGAGTGCTCTCTCTGTCTGCCACATCCTTATTTGCTTTATTTGGTTACGAGTGATGTATGGTTCGTCTTTGTAAGTACCAGCAGGCTCAGCCATTTAGAGATCATATACATCAAGATGCGTAGTAAAATAAACCACAGAACTAAGATATTAAATATGTATATTTATTTCTTTTATTCCAGTCATCCACAGTGGACATTTCACATAAACAATAGCTCTGGACTCTTAAAGTGATCTAACAGTTTTCCACAGTGAAGCCGATCCACTCTGCTCATTACATCAGGCCTTTTCTCTCTCATTTTTTGCCCTATGAACTAAACTGATCTAGGTTTTGTCTGTTACTTCTCACACTTTCCTGACAGTTATCCACAGATTTCATCTATGAAAAGATATCCAGAAGTTGGAGTGCTAAGCCCTTGTACATGGTTTGTTCCTCATAACAAGATGTAACCTGCCGTAATCCATGGAAGTGTAGCTTCATGTTTTATATGTGTCCAGATAAAGCAGTCATTTTGCAGCAGGTTCTACCAAGTACCTGATGAAAGCTGCAGAATATGTACTGAAAGATCATGTTGCTGGTACAAATCTAGTGCATCTTGATTTCCTGCTCCATTCTTTGTACAAAGGCATTCTTTGTGAGGGATATAGTAAACCACATCTCCCCATTCCAACAGCTGCACTTTTCCATCACCTTTAATTATGTTAGATGCAGCATGTGGCTCAAGCTCACCTCCATTTACCTGATGCATTACTGTTGTTTTGAAGGGCAGATGTTCTTACATCCCATGCTTCAACAGTCTCATCTCTTTTCTATTGCTTTACAGAGACGTGGTTCCAAAGAGCGATGCTGCTTGCGCACCACGTGCTGCCCAGATCTGCACTTCGCACTGCCACGCGCACAGATGTGTTTCTTAAACTGCTACCGTTTGTCACCATCCTGCTCCAGCACATCCACCGTACATTGGTTTTACTGCTCTACTCGGGATTGCTACTACAGTCTTCCGGAGTATGCATGTATTTATTTATTTATTTATTTAAGGGAAATACTCATCATGTACTGCTATCTGGAGAACAGCAATTCCAGTTCATAAGCTTTCAAACTTGTTTTCGTTCTGTAATGGAGTGAAAAGCCCATCTTTTGAAAGGCTTCAAAAAGCTAATATTTTGTGAAAGTCTTGACTTTCTAGAATAAAGAAATCTCCAGATTTTGACTGGAAAAACTTCAGATTTTGACACCCTTGAGAGACACGGAGTCTTGGTACTTGGAAGTCTTCAAGTGGGCACCCCTCTGTGAAGCACTTCTGGGAGAAGGAAAAAGCACATTTGATGAAAATCAGAAAAAAAAGATACAGCCAGCTCCCCTCACACTTCTTGCTGAAGCTCCAGATCCCAGCCCTTCACAATACCCTTCAAAATATGTTTACCATGCCATGCGTTTTTCAGTCTCCTTGTTTGCTCTCAACCATGCTAACTGGTCAAGCGGGCAATAGCAGAAGGCAAGGAAGCATCATAAATCTTTAAGAAACCTGATAAAACTTTCAAGCGAGCTCCTGCCTGCCTCCCCAGCCCGGCAGAAAGAGCTAGGCCAGACGTGTGGTTGCTGTGGTAACGTTACGCCACCCCTCTGGCGACTGTAGCATGGAGGTATCAGCATAGCACGCCTCGGTGGTTTCACCATCCTCAGGTGCAGAGAGGGATACGGCAACATTAGCTCGAGTAATTCTCACTTCTCATGGAAGGGCCCTCTGAGGGTGTGTGTGGCTTGAAGGCTGGCCTTTCACTTCTTCCTGCCCGAGAAGTCTTTTTTTCTTTTTTTTTTGTTCTCAGACCTTTAAAGGAAGTTTACACCTTTATTTCTAAAACACCAAGGAAGGCAGGCCTTAAATAATGTATTTTCAGAGTGCTTCTGTGCAAGTGTCAGGGATGGATGAACTTATTTGAACCACGGAGCAGTTGGAAAAGTGGCATTCAAACTGCACACCTGAAGTCAGTTGTGAAATCACTCTGCCACTATGAAAAGTCAGTGAAGAGCAGAGACGTGCCTCAGGATAGGGAACCGCCACCACCAGCAGCTACCAATGACGATGGTGCCACAGTTCCCATGCCTGGAGAGAGGGACACATCTTCTGGCAGAGGGAGAAGGGTGACAGCTCCATTGTCCTCTCTCCTTTTTGAAAAGGAAGAAAATAAAAAATAAAAAATAAAAAATAAAAAATAAAAAATAAATAAAAAATAAAAAATAAAAAACAAAATAGCAATTTGTTTAAAAGAAACAAGAGCACAGAAGCCCTCTAACCAATCATTGTCTAGCAATTCATGAGTTATAGTTAATGTATTTGGGTGAATTTGAAGAGAAAGGGATTAGGACAACATGCTGAGAAAAGTAATAAATTTTGCAACAGAAGAGTTGCATGCATTTGCTGTAATGAGCTGATCCACAATATTTTTCCTATTTAAATATAGCAAACAAAATGATACAGTGTATATGAGTGTAAACACAGGCTGAGAAGAAAGGTGACAGATTTAGTGAAGCTAGCATCACACCTTGCTCATAGGTGGGAAACCAAAAGACCTTCTCACATAACCATGTGGAAGAATACAAGATCACTAGTGATACATTCTCCCAGGCTAGAACATGGAGCTTATATTTTTACAAGTCCTTGGGACTTCATAGCCTGTTGAGACATTAGAGAAGACAATTAAATGAGCAAACATCAGCTCTCATTGTTCTCAGTGGGATTTTTTGGCACTAACCATTCTGAAATGATACCTCTATTATGCTGATTTCAGGGGATTTACACCCTGTAGGAGTTTTGTCCTCTGCGTCAGCTCTAACTATAGTGAATGGAAAACTGAATGATATGTAATTGGTTTGATCGACTGGACAGCAGCAACAGATGGATGAAAAAAATCACAGATGATCTTTATCAAAAAACGTAATGCTCTACAGCATTCTCAGACTATGTGGACTTCTACGAGACCATATGTGACTTTTCCAGAGCCACAGGACAAAGAACACATAGTGTGCTCAAATGTTTGAGGCCGAACCCGTGTATTTAAAACCTGAATAGAAAAAATCAGTTGCCTTTCAGAGTCTTACTAAATATACCAGAGTGTCTGCAGCTTAATCATAACAATACCAACAAAACCAAACAGATCTGTTTCTCGTCTCTGAAAGTTAATCTGTCGCTACACTGAATGTTATCACCATAGAGAGAAAAACTCAGCATCAGATTACTCCACAGTGAGGTTTCTCTATGATTTTCAGAAGAAATTTGAGTCTACATGATCAAATGCCTTTCTGTTGAGGCTGAGGTTATTAATACTCTGTTGAAGTTTCTATCTTGCTTTGATTAAAGCAATTAAATTAACATCATTATATCAGAAGTATGAAATAACTTCAGAGCTTCAAAATCCAACTAATCTTTGTAGTATTGTAAATGACATTTATTCAGGTATTCTGGCAAAAACCTGAGGCCTTGGTCTTGGAAATCTTTAAATACGTAAGTAACCTAAGAGATATGAATCACTAACAAAGTCCATTTTTACATTTCTAGCAGTTGGCTTCTTCTTCTTGCCATTGTAAATTTTTCATAGCTGAATAACAACATTTGCTTATGTATGAAATGTCTCTAAAAAATGTTTAAGAAAGTTATTAGAAATAACAGAACTAATTTTTAAAGGTGTGATATTAAGTCAGAAAACCTTAGCATCTGAAGAGTAATCAGAAGTAGTTTACTGGAAATTCTGGAGGTAATATAATGACTTTTTTTTTTTCTTTCCATTTGTTCCTCTTGCCAAATTTAATGCTATTTAGAAATTAAAAATTAGTATCTTTCATGTTTTCTTAAAAGACACAGAAGATACACTACTTAGATAATGCTTTTACGACTATTGCTAACATTTGAGAAGCAGTAGTTTCCCCCTTCTATTTTTTGAGCAACTATTTCCTCTTCATTCTGTTACAATTACTTTCTATGAACTTTGTCTCAGCTTATAATAACCAAGAACCTGGGTTAGGTCTGCAGTCACTTAAAATCTTGGAGTCTCTTCGTCTCATAATATGCTTTTTAAATTACTGCTGTCCCATTTTCAGTATGACTACCTGAAAATGATCCCCTCAAGATCAAGAGAATGATTAGAAACCCAGGAATTTCTTACCACAGATTCCTCAGCACAATTCCTCAGCACATGAAAATACTCACTTTTCACTATTGTTTCATGGCAGCTTTTCAGGAAGAATAAAAGGAATAATCAGAACTGCAAAACAGTGCATTATAACAAGTCAGTAGGTTTACATTCCAAATGGCATTAGTCAGAATCCATCCCAAGAAGACTTTTCCTGCATGTAAAATTATATTTAGAAAGAGTAAAAAATATTCCATCAATCATAAAGGACAATAAAAAGAGCCCAAACTTCAGTCTTAAAAGTGTAAGAAAAATACGGGTTTAGCAGAGATTTAGGGAATGTCAAACTCACTACTTGACCACAAAGCAAAAGTAGGTCTCAGAAGATCTCTTCCATATTCAAAAGCAAAGCAAAGGTTTACCTTTAATTGAAATATATGATAAGAAAGGAATAGCTAGCAGTTAACATGAATTTTGCTTCTTTTAATGGGAAAGAGAACTAAAATATGCATGTGTTCACATGTGAAAGGTTTACATGTTTTTTTTTTATTTTTTCCACCTGAGAAAAAGCTGAAAATGTAGGTCTTCTTGGTCCCCTCCTCTTTTCTTGAGTAAATCAGTGACAGCCATGAGAATCAGGTAGAAGCTGCACTTGCTTGATATAGTGGAGATCAGGATTGATTTGGTGGCTTTGTCCATGTGAGAACAGAATTAGCAAGAAGTGTTTGAAAGCTGTCAGTGCTGGAAAAGGCCCACAGAACCATTTCACAGGTGTATTTTCAAGGCTGAGAAAAGAAATTGGTTTTAATAAAGCCAAGTAAAAAAAGGCTTAAATAGGACTTTAGCAATGCATAAGACTTCAGCAGTCTTCTGCCCAAGGGTGTATTTCTCTCTACGTGTAGTACTCTGTCACAAGGCTAGGTTTTAATTACACGAGCCACAGGCGAAACAAAGTCTGCTTTCTACTATCATTTTGATGTGGTATTCCCTGTATCTCTAGGAAATTAAGGTCCCTGGTATGCTCATCCTCTCTCAAGCATTAAAAAGCAAGTGTCATTTTCAAAGGCAAAAGGTATGCACTATACTGCTAGTCAAAAAGGCTGACTTCCCCCCAGCAAAGGATTTAAATCCCCTACACATCTCCAGGACCTCTCAGAGGTAAAACCTACCACTTGTGCCATGACAATAAAAAGGCATTAACTCTAGCACACACCAGACACCAGTCGCCAAATACCTTCCTATTAATTACTGCAGTTCTTAGTTCAGCTCTCCATTTCTTTTCTGGAGCGTAAAACCTGCAATACCACAGCACAGTATGAATTTGCTGCTGCAGCTACAATGCTCGAGTCAGTCATGAACTCTCTGCCTCCTAGTTCAGAGAGTACAAGTCTGCTGTCACACCACCACAGCTCTCTGAAATGACCGGATATAATTGGGTTCAGCGGAGTTCAAAGCTGTGCTCCAGCTTCCTCATATCAAAGCCCATTGATTCAATGGAAGCTGAAGCACATTGAAATGCTGTGAGGGTGCAAAGGAAGTTATGAGCAAAGCACATTCAGATCTGTCCTGTTAGATGCCAGGATGCACTACACAATTGGCTTCTGGCTGAGCTTTCGGGAGCTTGGGTGTGGTCCCCTGGAGAAGACTTATTTTGTCCTCTAATTGCTGCAAAACATATCTCATTTTTGCTAATGTACTTTGCCTTCTTCATGACTTGATACTTCTGAGACTCATTTACATTTTTTTTTAAATGTCAGGGCTTTCTCCTGAGATTGTTCATTCATTATATTTATTTTCTTGGACATGATTTAACAAACCATCCCTGAAGAATTTGCAGCTATTAACTTTGTTGAACAGTAGCTCAAGTGAGAGTTAAAGGCAAATGGTCTAAGAGAAAGTAATGGGCCAAAGCACCTCCAGGGTACTCATATGCCCCAAAACTCATTCCAGTAATTCTTTCCAGAAAGACGGAAAAAAAAAAAAAAAAAAAAAAAAAAAAATAAATAAATGCTGTTGTTATTGGTATGAGACTATAAATAATTACAGATAAGCTTAACACAACTAGGGTTCTTTTGCTTTGCTTTGTTAGTCAAGGACCAATCTTCACCCTCAATTCCAGTTAACATTTATGTATTGTCCATGCCTACCTCATATTCACTCCTGTAAGCTCCAAACCAGCAATAGTAATTTGTCAGCTTTATGTCATGAAATGGCTGTTTGGCTCACATTGCTATCAATTGCAGAATTCGTTTGTAGAGACCTGGATTGATGTTCACTAGTGACCTTATTGTGTGAAGTAGACTTTCTTGCTGCCACTGCTGAAAATAAGGCAACTATAAGTGGCACCATTGTTAACTTGCCCTGTAAGGTCTCCAGAGTATTATATGAAGAGTATACTATATAATGTAACACATTCATATCATCTTTGTCATCCTGTAGGCTGTAATAGCAATCAATTTCAATGAAGGGTCTAACTATCTGGAAAACCATTTGTTTTTTTCAAACTTTGCCAGCTGTACACAACCAAGAATATATGTCCATTAACTGATATTCAGTTCCATTAATGAATTAATAACAATTCCAAACAGTACAATTTCATGCAAGATGTTACTTTTTTTCCACAACCCTGTCTCACCAGCAACTGTGTCCTTTCTGGAAAATTCTTGTTAGATTCACTTAGGTAATGAATGCAACTCAGTCACTGTTGTTCTGTGTATGTTATAACTGATAATTTTTCTGCAGACATTAATGTCTTTGTTCCCAGTACAAGCAGACCTAGTCATAGATTCATAGAATCATAGAATGGCTTGTGTTGGAAGGGATCTCTAAGATCATCTAGCTCCAAACCCCCTACCCTATGCATGGGTGCCCCTCACTAGATCAGGTTGATCATGGCCTCATCTGACCCGGACTTGAGCACCTTCAGGGATGGGGCATCCACAGCCTCACTGGGCAACCTGTTCCAGTGCCTCACACCCTCTGAGTGAAGAGAAGAGCCTAGAAGCTGCCCTATGTTAGATAAGGGCCAGTTTCAGCCGGCTCCAAAGGGACCCACTGCTGCCCAGAGCCAAGCCAGTAAGTGGTATTGTTTGTGCCTCTGTGAGAGCAGATTTAAGGAAGGGAAATAAACTGCACAATAGCAGCTAGCAGAAAGAGGAGAGAGAACCATCCCTGCAGCCCCCAGGTGAGTGCAGCAGGAGGGCAAGGAGGAGCTCCAGACATGCAGCAGCAGTTCCCCTGCGGCCTGTGGAGAGGCCCCTGGTGGAGCAGGCTGTCCCCCTGCAGCCCATGGGTCCCACATGGAGCAGATCTCCACGCTGCAGCCTGTGGAGGAGCCCCTTGTGGAGCAGGTGGATGTGGCCTGGAGGCGGCTGTGGCCCATGGAGAGCCCCCGCAGGAGCAGGCCCCGGGCCAGAGCTGTAGCCTGTGGAGAGGAGCCCATGGTAGAAGGAGGAAGACAACAATACAGCGCTGTCATGTGGTCATTGGTTTGGTTTTCAATATTTCAGCATAAAATTAAAAATAAAGAAAGGAACCTTTTAGACCAAAATAACCTCCCAGCACATTGCAAGTGAAAGCAAAGTCAATTTGCTGGTTTATTTGTTGTTGTTGTTGAGCTTTTTTTAGCGTCACATTTATGTGTTTTTCTGCTCAGCAACACAATGCAAAGTCACAGTGGAAAACCAAAACCACTGGACAGCAGTATCCACTCAGTGCCTGGAGATCCTAACTCCACAAGTTATATAGCCAGTTGTTTTGTGCAACCACTTATGAATTGCTTCTGGTCCTCATGTTAGTCTGGATGTCTTTGTCCAGGGTTCATTGCTGTATGTTAAATTGTTTGGTATGGGCCAGACCAAATCTTTTTATTACCTTTTCTTTCAGAAAAATATTTGTTTTTCCAATATTTGTAAGAATGAGGATATCTATTTTGTCACTTTCAGTTGAACTTGAGGGAGTTTTGTGTGCTTTTATGTGAGTGAGAAGTTATCTTTTTTTAGTTATATGTTTCTTCTTGGATGCTTGTAAGGCTCCCTAAAGAAATCTCTTTGTATCAGGCATGCAACAAGGAACATAGAGCTAAAACCCACTGAAATCGGATGGAGCACCTTCATTAATACCTATTAGTTTTGAATCAGGTCAGCTGCCAAGTGCTATTAAGGCTGCCCCATGCCAGTAAAGATGGGCCATTTGTATAGTTTTTTCTGCAATAAATTCATTAAAAAATAATAATAATCTGTTCTCAGTCAGCCTGAAACACTTCGTGAGCATTGTAGCTGGAAAGAAATTGGAGGTCTGACCAACAAGAGCACAGGGAGACTGGCATTGCCATCTTAGCAAAGGTCCAAGTTCATGTTCAAGCCCCTCTCTCTCACATCCAGTGTCAAGAAGGTTATTCACCACACATCTCCTGGGAGAATGTGCTAACCAGACGAAAGTGCAATGAAGTTATTTGTGGAGCTACTTGGTAAAAAAAAAAAAAAAAAAAAAAAAAAAAAAAAAAAAAAAAAAAAGTGAAAACATTTTGTGTCAAAAGAAACTTTTCTTCTGAAACAATATTATTACTTCCTTTATTTTATTTATTTATTTATTTTCTTGATAAAGAAAAAGAATGCTTCAAGCTGAATGGAAAAAATATATTTTTATTCTCTTCTCAGTAGCCTGACCCAAAAAATCTATTATTTCCACTGTTCTACTTCTAACCTTTTTATTTCTTTCCAACTAGGTTTACAAAATTTGCTTTCTAAAGAGCCCTGGCATCAGAATCTGTAGAACAGCCAGGGTCAAAATTTCGCTATTTTTGAATACACCTACAATACACACAGATTTGCATAATAGACCCTAATGCCTCCTTCAGAATCATTATGGTCTATTGAGTAAATAATGTGTCTATTGAAAATGGTTGAAATACCCATTTAGTTGATAGACTCTATTGACTCCTAATAAGAAGCTATTAGAGTTGAATAAATATTATGCATTTTAAAACTTGCCTAAATATATTCCATTTCCACATATTTTCATATTTACACAATGGACTGTAAAGAACATGTTGTATCTGCCCACAGACAGCTCCAAAGGGAGAGCCTCCCTTTTTGTAGGGTTTTTCTTAACTTTGTGGGTGCCAGGGTTGGTTGTATTTGGGTGGTTGTTTTTCTGATGAGGCAAACTTGGGTGAACAAAACCTTGAGAAAATCAAACTACATGAGTTAGCACTTAAATAAGATTAAGCTTTATGTTTTCAAGGAGGTAGCATAGGATTTAGCCATGCTCTCTTGGGTTTATAGGAGGGATAGCACAACACGTTCTTTACACCCTATTACTTAAATATGCAAATACATTGAAAAAGAGTGAGGGTAGTCAGGCAATGTGTAAAATGCATATTTGTATTTATTCAGCCTTAAATGTTTCCTTGAGAGCTGATAGAATATCTCAAGTTAAAGCATACTTTGATAATTAACCATATATAAATTTTTGCTAATCTACAGCAATTTTGAAGCATCTGTAAGTAGCTGTGCCTATTCAGCATAGAGATTGAAGTTTCCAGATGTGCCATATACTGTCTTGTGTCTCATCTCATAGATTCAGATCTTGGATCCGGGACCCCAAATCCTGGTACTCTGTTGCCATATGGCCATAAAAAGCAGCAAGGACTCAAAGCTGGTAAAGGTGTGCCTTACAGATATGCTCAGTTCACATGAAAGAAAGCCAGGGAAGTGGCTGCTACCACTCTGCTTCTCAAAACAGGAAGATCAGCAGCTTGTAAAAAGAAAGTGCCTCCTTTCTGTCCCTTCCTAGGGCCTGAACAGGTACAGGCAGTGATAGAAGTGATCACTTTTATGCATTTTTGTGCTAGCTGATTCCATGCTCTCCAGTAACCATGGATTCTATTTTTGACGTGGTCTTGTTGCTTTAAAATGGTTCACATACTTACATTTTTGGATCTCATCAGCTTCTAAAAGACCACCTGGAAAACTTACCAGCAGTTTGCAGCAGAGGTCAAAGGAGGAGGCACACCTTCATGGGAGATTTTCATGGCCCATATGAGCCTCACAGGAATCTGATAACAGCACATGACAGGCTGTGCATAAAGCTGTGGAGCTTGTTTCCACAGGTCAGGCTCAATCACTAGCAGGCCTGACCACACAGTCATTGTCTGTGTCTGCTCTGCTCTACCTCCTCACAAGCTCAGTTTTCCAAAAGGTTGCCTCAACTGTATATCGCTGTGACAGTGTTATGCAAATTGTTTTCTCAGTTTATTTAATTTGATGTTGGCAAGAACAGAGGGTTAATGGCCTTGGCACAGACACATCTTGCTGCTATTTTCCAGTCGGTTCCTTGAATATCTGAGCACTAGAAAGCCTTCCTTGGTCTCATAATGGCAAAGAAACAAGGGAAATTCTGATTCAGTCATTAGCCCTATCCCATTGTGACCACTGTCTTTCACATTTTAGTCACTCTGTGCATATGGAAAAAAACAAACAAACAAACAAACAAAAAACACAGGCAACAGGCAACAGGATGTCCCCTTCTTTTTGCCCTCTCTCCAGTTTCCCCACCATGGTAGCTCTTTAAAGAGGACCAATGCAATTGTGGGGAACAGGGGTCTTCCAGAGCTCTGGACTGTGAACAAACCAGATGTAGAGATGATTTCTATATCCTTGCATCCCATATATAAATAATTCTCCTCTCTGTGCCTGAGGGGTACTGAACTGCCAGTGAAAAATACCCTTGATGGACTACAAAAATCTCCACAGATGCCCCTTAGCACTGAAGGTGCAGCATGGTCCCTCACCTCCACCACCAAACCACTTGTTTTTCCACAGCTGCTATCCCCTGACTGTCAGAAAGGCAGAGACAAGAAGTGCATCCTGTGTCCTGCTAGGGGTAGTTGTCCTGTATTAAAGGTTATGTTCTAATGTTTCACAGCCAGTACACCAAAGTCCATCCTTTCTGATATCTCTAACTGACTGGTGAGAAGCAGAAGTTAAAGAACTGGAGGAAATAAATAAAGAAAGAAAGAAATATTGGAGATATAATAACTAATTAATTTCTCATATTTATTTTTTTTTAGTTGGATCAAATTGACATGTGTTCTCAATGGTTTGTGTAAGTCATCTTAACTTTGTCTTTCTCTGTCCCTGAATAAATTTGAAGGCCTTATCTGATCACTTTTTCTTGCTGCCTGTGATTTGACTAAAAGACGATCATATTTTCAGTTTAAGCTTCTGTCCCACTCTTCCCTTTATCCCTTCACCCTCTACACACACACACACACACACCCCCCAAAAAAAAAAAGACTGTAAGTACCACACACTTTCTATACCTCTGGCTCCCCGGCAGCATTTGCAACAGTAAGAGCACTGGAAAGCATAGAAGCCAAATAATGCTAATAGGGCAAACAGAATGTAATTGCTTATGTGTGCTGGTTATATCCTGAAACAAATTGTTTCTTAATGCTGAGGTCAGACAGGGTTTAATTAGGAGAAATACAATTGGTGTAAAATTTTGCAGCAGGCTGCTTGTTTGGTGTTATGCCAAGTCAACATCAAGCCTTTCCAAATGGAAATTTTCATTAGAGGCCATTGGCAGCCTGGTTAGGCTGAGTTTCAACTTTTTTGAGTCTCCTGGTAACATGAACCTGAAACTCAGCATATCTGCTTCCTAATAACAGGCTGTCCCTATTGCAACTGTTCTCACACACAGGCACACAGCTGCTACATATGTAGTAACATGTGTGCTCAAGATCTACAATGGCTACTTTATTCTGGCCTGAAGCTGTCAAAATCTGCATGCAGATAAGTTAGCATTTTTAGGAGCATGGACAAACAACATTTTATTTCCATATTTTTTCATAACATTTAAAGAGAGAAACTTTTCAAGGAAAATTTCTAAACCTTTTTTGTTGTTGTTGAGATATGATCCATTTTTGCACTGTTTGCAACATTCTATTCAATATTCTCTAGGATTTTTATCGATGCTCAGAGCACTGATACTGCTTTTTACATTGATTATCACAACACCAGTGCTCACGTGGCCAAGGAAGAAGTTATATCAGCATTTCCTTTCAATTCATACAAGGGGCTTAAAAAAACAAAAAACAAAACAAAAAAAAAAAAAAACTTTTTAACCACGCAGATAATGATAGGACAAGGGGGGATGGTTTTAAAGTAAAAAAGAGGAGATCTAGATTAGATGTTAGCAGGAAATTCTTCACTCAGAGGGTGGTGAGGCACTGGAACAGGTTGCCCAGAGAAGTTGTGGATGCCCCATCCATGGAGGTGTTCAAGTCCAGGTAGGATAGGACCCTGCGCAACCTGATCTAGTGGAAGGCCCCCCCCGCCTTCCATGGCAGGGGGGTTGGAACTGGGTGGTCTTTGATGTCCCTTCCAACCCAATCCATTCTATCATTCTGTGATGATTTCCTTAATAGACCCTGCTGATCAAGAGAAAATTGTTTAACTTGACTAAGAAAAAATGCTTTGGGATAGACTTTAAATTTTTCCTTTCTCCAGTTTTGTGAGTTAAGATGATGTTTATAAAGCTAAGGGATGGGCATTCTGGCTTGCAATGCAGAAGGCTTCTTCCACTTCTTAGCATACCTCAGGCTCAGTTTGTGTCTTTTGTTCTTATTCCCATCCCAAGATGGAGAACACTGATGAATGGCACACAAAAGAAATGTGACTTGTTGAATGCCACAGCACAGGGGCTTTGAAGTTGAGCTACCAGAACTGCTTACTGCAGAAAGCACTGTCAGCAAAAGGTAGGACCATAGTGGAGGATTTGTGGCTACTCTGAAAGATGGAAGGGGTGGTAGGTGAGCCGGCAGAGAAGGAGGGAGGACTTCTGAGCCAAACTGCCACTGCAAATAAGACAAACCAGGCTATAGGAGGGAGAAACTGCTGGGAAGAAAGTGGCAGAGACCCAAGCAGATAGTCATGGTACAGTAATTTGTTAAACAGGAGCCTTTTCGTCTCAGTATCTCCCTGTCCTGGTTCAGACAATACCTGAATCAGCATTTACAGAACTACCTCCTCCCTGAAGGTGACATATACTCTTCTTTGTGGTCCAACCTCCCGTGCTCAGTCCTCTATTTTCTGTCTTTTCCTTCCACTGGCTTTGAGAAGGCAGCACGTTGTGCATCCTTCCCTCTCTACTGCCTAGCTGTAAGCCAGCTGAGGTGCACTGCTACCCCTGTCCTCCTTCCACCCACCACCACTGGTGCTGTATTTGTCTGTTGGATGAATCCTTATTCCTGGCCTGCCATGCTGGGCTGGCTGCTGTTCATGTGCACAGCTTATAACATCCATGATAATTACCTGTGGTAATTGTCTGTGGGTATGCTGGGGGAGAAGAAAATAGAAAACCAGGTGTGTTGCCATTCTTCATCTCCATCCACATGTTCCAGTTAAGGTCCAGTCTTTATAACAGGAGAAAAAAGAAAAGGCATTCAAGTTTGGCAAGAACATAAATATGTGAATATCCACTGCACATGCATGATCTTCCACACAACAGTGCCTTGAAATATCTGTGTTGTGAAAGCTATTAGAAATCTCTGTGTAGAGATTTGGAGATTTAACTAGTTTTTATGGGTTTTAGGGAGGAAAACAATCTTTGATGCAAAGTGACAGGATTCTTCTAACTTATAGATAGCTCTCAATAGACTTCAGCAGTAGCTTTTTGGCAATTCTCCTCCCTTTATACTACAACTTTCAGGGTTGAAAGGAGAGAAAATTCCCTTTGTATGAAAAAGACTCTCAGCATTACTCTGTAGTGCCAGCTACCTATATTGCTCAAACTGTTGGTTAATGCTATCTTGTGCACCTGATCCTTAAATAATTTGTACAGGAAGCAACAAAGCAAAACCATGGTTTGCTTGTGGATTTTTCCCCCATTAATGTAGAGAAGGGATTGTGCTGGCATCCCCTATCAAATTCTGACAGAGTCCAGATTATTACATCACACATTACATTACAATCTCCTATTCCCAGTCTGGATTTGGTTTTTAAAAAAGTTGTAAATGTATGTTGAGCAGTCAGTAAAGGATTTTGACATGACTAAGTGGAGTCTTCACATGAATTCTGCATATTTCTCTATGTTTTTTTCTTTTGGGGTGCAAGTCTAGGGCATGTTTCATGGCTACAAGTTTTCTCCCCATCTATGTGACTAATGTCTAATAGTGACATCAATTTTACATCTTCAGCTCTCTGGCTAGGGGGACATAGCTAGGTCAAAAATGAGGTGTGGCTGGTGCCTTCACAGCCCTGAGCTGCAATATGACCCTGGGAAACTACTACATGTCTCCACCCTAAGATCACCTTCATGACTGCCCTGAACACCCACTGGTTTCCCCGCTCCCATACAGTCCATCCCCCTTTAGCTCTTCTGGGGTTCACTGCCTACCTGGTTTTCCCTTGTCAGGCAGAAGGCACTTTTTCCTTCATCAAAGAAATAAACAGACAACAAGGTGAAAGAGAACAGCATCTTGACTTCCCTTGCTTGAAGTTTTGTTATTTGGGGGTTTAGAGTTCCTTGCTCTGATTAAAAACACTTTTGTGCATGTGTGACTACAAGTATATGTAGCTGGCTCTGGTTCTGGCACAACAGCAGAGGATCAGGTGGTGAGGTGGAGGCTGGAGGAGTAAATATAGTTTCTGCCTTGTGATCATCTCTCCTCTGTTTTTAAAGCCTCCAGCCTTTTCCTGAATTACCCCGTGGGTAGCTTAGTAACAGATATGATGGCCCATTCTTTAGCATACTTAAAAAAAACTAGAAAACACACTGCCATTTTAGAAACAAACAAACAAAACTAATGAGGTGAAGGTGTTGTCATGGAAGTGTTACTTACAAGCATGGAAGGGGCAGCTGCCCTTCACCAGGCTGTGCTGAGCAGCCAGAGCACAAAACAGTGCTCCCCGTCACGTACAGCCGGGGGGCTGTGGGCTCGGTGGATGCTGTTTGTACAGATGACAAGTCCCCTGCCGAAGCGGGTGATCAGTGGGCCAGGGTCAGAGACATTAACACACTCAGAAGACACTGCTGGATGATCACTTGTACCGGGCACTGCCGTGCAGAAGGCACGTTGAAGGAGAGCTTGGCAGAGCTGGGGAGCGGCGTCTGTCTCTATTTGCATGCAGTACAGGGAAGCCAGGAGTGCTCGTCTCTTGCTTAAAGGCAGCTACTGCTGCTTCACTGGGAGCTTTGGCCTTTTCAGTGGGGAACCCAGGAGACAGGCTGTCAAAACAGAAGTCTCTTGTTCAAACCAGCAAGCTTAGGAAGTGAAGGTAGTAAAAAAAAAATATATATATATATATATGTATAAAAAAATAAAAGACTTGGATCAGTCAAACTAAAGGGAGCTGCTGTTTCTTGATTTTCTTTTATTTATTTATTTATTTTATTTCTTTCTGAGGTTATTTAGTATCTTTTTAGTTGGTTGGATGCAGAAGCAAGAAGTGTGGAGTTCACTTGAGGCCTTGGAGATAAATTCATAATTCAGTTTTGCAAACAGACAAACAAATAAAAGTTGACTTACATGGTGGAGGTTTTATATTTCCTCATTGTATTTCCCCTGCTCTGTACAAATCTTCCTGGAAATCTCTGTAGTAATTCTCTCTAACTGCTCTGATGCCTACTGTGCAGGGCAGAGCCGATCAACTGCAGGGAATCCTTCCATTTTCATCTCTATTTTTTTTCTATCGTGTCAAATTCCTTCTCCTTAGTAATCCCCCTCACTCCCTTAGGAGCAGAGAGAAGATTTAATTGTTAAATTTGCATAGTAACTCAGCAAACAAACTCTCCAGTCTCATGTAGACCTTTAGCCATTGCAGGCTTCATTTCAGTTATAAATCAGCTCTCTGTGCTCAGCCATGGTGGCATTTCATACTCAGGAGGCCAGTGCAGATAAATGACTGAGGGACAGTCCTTGTGGGGGGCTTTTGCTTTTAGGGCTGCTCTTTCATAGTGTAGCTTATTGTAAGACTATTTTGAGAATGCGGCTTTGCAGGTGGACTATGCTTGCCCTTTTTCCATGACTATCCATGTGATAAAATAATCCTGCCATAAGGGGCTTCTGGCTGGTAGAGCTCTTGTAAATGTAGCAATTATGAATATAAGAAATAACTGAAATCCTGTTTAGTGTAATAAAAGCAACTTCACTGTTGCTGGATTGCACTAAAATAGTTTGATTTTAAAGATGATTTGTAAGTGTGTGCTGGGGTTTGTGGGATTTCTGCAGGACACAGAAAGGGTAGGATGTTGGAGTGAAACCTCTGTTTCTTCCAAATTTAAAAAATGTAACTTACAGTACCACATTCTAGCATCTAGAATCTGTTAAAATCATTACACAGAGTAGACAGCAACAAAATAGACAACAGACTACATTACATTACTGTTGTAATTGGATTATTTGTCTTGACTGTCCAGAAGTGTGGTGACACCATTCAGTCTGCAGTCAGTAACCTAAAAATAATCCCTGATATCCATATCTTGAGGTAGTTGCGGCAGTCATGTGGGAATCTTGTACATTTTTGGACTATGACAAGTGTCCAACTTCACCTTCCCTGCAGCTTTACCCCTATATATTCTTGCTGCTGTTGGGGTGGGGTGATGGACTGAATTCTGTATTGACCCCAGAACCCCACACCAGCTACCCTGTGGCTGAGAAAAATAAAATTTATCTCCTTTCTCATCATCAGTCTGCATTAAGTTTATCATACTGATCTGTGTAACTACATTTATGCATTAAACAGCAGTCAAGAGAGATGTGAGGCCCCATTTAGCCTTGGAAAATGTTGATATTATCTGTAAGGCAAGCCATTCCACAAGAGTTATGAAATCAAACAGGGAATTTAATTGCTGGTTGATTGGTTGTCTCAGGTATTTGCTCCCAAGGAAGAGAAAATGGGAAGTCTACCTTGGGATACATGTCTACATGAGTTTAACAAGGCAGTTGTGAATGAGAGCAACCTACCAGACTTTCTTCCCACTGGAGAATTGTTCTTGGCATTGTAAGGAAATATGACCTGAACTTCTTTGGATGTCTAAGCAACTACTTGCAAGCACCATGACTTAAGAATAGGTGAAATCCTACAAGTGATACAAAACAGGAATTTCACATCTTTCTCATGTAGAAGCCACATTAAATTATCAGCCTAGTGCTTTCCCGGTATATAGTCTTACTGGTCTGCTAAGGGAGAAGAGTTATCTGGGTGCTAATCAGTGGTGAAACCCCAGAGCAACATGAAGAAGTTTGAGAGCTATATGAACATTCAGCTAAAATTCCTTTATACAGATAATTTTGCTTCCACTAGTCTTTTGAACTCCAAGAGAAGCATAAGCCTTGACTCAGGCAACACTGAGTGTTTGCTCTGGCACCCAAGCCAGCAGATGTGACTACTTGGCATTCTTTGCTGAGACTTGAACCTCATGGTATGTCTATGCCAAATGCATCCACATTATGCAAGAGTAATGGAAATTCGCCAGGCAGAGCAATGCTATGTTTTCCCAGATAAATGTTGCTCAGTTTAATTTTGAGGAACTGACTGATAAAATCCTCAGTGATTACCTTGTTTGCCTAACTGTCTTCATTCTGTGAAATCCACTACTTTTGCTGGCACAAAAATACATGAAAAACATGAGGGAATGAGTGCATCAGAGAGAGCAAAAGAGGCCAGGCAAACCTCCTTGTGAAGGTAGAGCACACACCTCAGAAAAGGGGTTTCTTTACTCTTCAGAACATGAGTCGGCTGCACAGGTGGAACAGTAAGAATACAGTTTGCCATCTAACATGATTCAAGTGACTCAAGCTGCACTGAGCTTTTCATTACAATTTTTTATTTCCTCTAATCCCAGACACCCTCCACCATGAGAAAATGCTGGTGATGAAGGTCATTTGCCTTTGGCAGCACCTAGAAGGCAAAACAGAAGTGTAGCAGCTTGTGCTACACGATATCTACAGAATATAGGGAAGTGGAAAATGAACCATATTTTGGACAAAAAGTACATAGGATTATCCAACTGGAAGACATACACTAAAATGAAAAATGATCTTGACTATCACCTCCCTGATCTTCATTTGAACTAATGACTAGTTGCCTCCAGTCTTTGTCTTCCAGGGAAGACAATTGATTTCATATTTGCATAGCTATACAGTCCCAGTTCTGGCCATGGTCTCTGATCATTAGCACAAGTCCTAAAAACAGTGAGTACAATTTGCTCCCTTCAACAGCCAAAGACACTTACCATAACCTAACACAACTGCATTCAACATGCTTGTGACATTCAAACATAGGGCAGCCCAAATCAAGCAAAATGTCAGAGATAGGTGCAGAGAGCTGGGACTCAGCTCTGAAGTTGAGGAAGGTTGCAAATATCCTGCAGAGCCTGTGTGAGGTGTAACAAAGTTACTGTCACCCAACAACAACCTGATAAATGGCTGGAGAACATGAGGCCTTTTGTTACCAGATCCTTCATTCTGCAGGGGAAAAAAAAAAAAATACTGAAATTGGAGGAACTCCTCAAGTAGCAGCAGAGGATTGCTGGTATATAATTAGTGCAACTGATTACTCCAGCAAATAGCCAGAAGTAGCCATTTCTTCCCTCATGTTACATCCAGTACAGTAATAAAGTCCTTTTTAACGACTTTCAGCCATGAAGGAAATCCGAGAGAAACTGGCTTCTAACCCTGGACTTCAAATTCAGGAGAACTGAAGGAGAGATGGAGCAGAGTTCAGGACTCCCTCTATCTATTATCCAGGGCCAATGGGAAAGAGAGCAATTTTTATAGCATTTTGAAAGGCTGTTTACAAACTGTTGGCCTAGAAGGAAATCTTGGAAACCACTCACTGTCGATGCAACAAGCCAGGTGTATCCTGCAGGGATATTCATGCAGAAGGAGCATGAAAGACAAGTTAGGTGCTAATGTTTTCCAAAGCTCCATATGAATAAGTTACTTCACAGTTATGGCTGGGTGAATTTGCAGTGAATAACTTATTAAATTAAAATATTCTTTTTTCTTTTCTTTTTCTGTACAGAATGTCATGAGCTTCTCAGTTTTTCAGTTGAAATTATTTTCTGAGTTTTTCTTTGTCCAGAGCAATTCTTTGCAAGACTAGGCAAAATAATGCTGAAATTCAGAGTATCAGACAGAGATCAGGTATTTCTTTTCCTTGTTTAGATAATGAGTCATTTTGAATCAAGTTTCTGATTCAATACTTAAGTTTCTAAAGAAAAAAAAAAAATGGCCTTGCATAAACACTATTTAATATTTACTTAAATGCTACTGTTTCAATAGCCAGTATTAAATTCATTCAATATACTATTTTGTATATATTATTTTGAAAGTCAGCAGGAAAAAAAAACAACTCATGAATAATCAAACAAACTGTTTAAATCATTTAAACACAGCATTATCTGAGGGTTAAGTAATGTTTGCCTATTTGCAAACACAGTTGCATGAAGCAGACTGTAAAACACATACCTTGAAATGCAAGGTAAAAGAAAGTGGTTTACAGCTACAAGCTAAAACTATTTCTACTACTTTCACACAACTGAACAAAACTGGAATTTTGAACTCAGAATAACTTCAGTTACCTATTTCACTTGGTTTGTAAAACACAGAGGCCCAGCTACACATATAAATCAGCAATGGTGAAGTATAGGATGCCATATACCTTGACCCCCCTCACCAGGAACAAAAGATCAGTGCTCTCAGCTCTCCTGATGGACTGCATTTCTTGTTTATCCTCTTTCAATGTTCCTCAGAAAAATTCAGTTGTGCCAAGCTACTAAACACATTGTCAGCATGTAACAATGGGGGAAAAGGATAAAAATTCTTATGCATGATAAAAGAATATTGAAAATACATGTATCATCTTAGGCTGTTCTATATTGTTTGATGGTACACTTGGTACATTACAACATATTTTAAGTCATTATTTTGGTTAAGTCCAATCTCCACTTGACACTTACAATTTAAGAGAATTAGGGTATTTCATATACGACTTGTTATTCTTTCTGCCAAAGGGGAGAACAAACTCCACAAAAGGGAAATTACAGAGATGCAAGTTACCCAGGATAATGGGGATATGGAATCAGGCAACATTTATGTTTCATTTTGCTAATGGATTACAATACTTCTCTTTAGTTAGGAGCTTATGGATAACGCGGATGCACACAGTCTTTGCTTTTTAAGTGTAGTCCAACAAGATGCATTGTACGATATTCTTACTAAG